TGTCATAATATACTCAAAGACGAAAGAGGACCATCTAAATGACATATGATGGGTCCTAGGAAAACTTTCCGAAGCAGGTTTGAAAGTATCTCAAGAAAAATCAAAGTTCTTCAAAAAGAGCGTTGAATACTTTGGATTCATAGTGACGGAAGGAGGCTTGCGGACATCACCCGAAAAGGTCAGGGCCATCAAGCAATTTCCCCAGCCAAAGACCCTTTTCGAGCTGAGATCTTTCATAGGGTTGGCTAGCTACTACAAATGCTTTGTTAAGAATTTTGCAGCAATTGCAAGGCCTCTTACTAGCATTCTTAAGGGCGAAAACGGTAAGATAAGCAAATACCAATCAAGAAAAATAAGCATTGAAATGAACAAGGAATAGATGGAAACATTCTGCAGACTAAGAGAAATCCTAGCATCCATCCAGACGGTTTTACTTTCCCATCCAGACTATATGAAACCGTTCGATCTAACAACGGACGCGTCAGGTTTCGGCCTAGGGGCAGTTCTATCGCAGGATGGTCGCCCAATTACAATGATAAAAGAATACGAATAAAATTTTGTTACAATAACGAAAAGAACTATGCGACCAACGAGCGGGAACTCCTCGCCATAGTCTGGGCACTACAAAACCTCCGCAATTATTTTTATGGAGTAAAACTTTACAGATCTTTACCGACCACCAGCAACTCACTTACGACGTCTCTGATAAAAATCCTAACGCTAAACTAAAGCGCTGGAAAGAAATTATTGACGACCACAGTGCAAAGGTGATTTATAAAACTGGCAATGAAAACTTTGTCGCTGACGCGTTGTCCCATTGTCAAAACGTTAACGCTTTAGAGGAAGAACAGGACTCCGATATGGCTACCATACATAGCGAGGAATCGCTAACGTATACCATAGCTACAACGGACACACCGGTTAACTGTTCCAGGAATCAAATAACAATTGAAGAGAGTAACAGCTCCTCCGTAGACACGTTCATTCTGTTTAAAATCAAGGTTAGACACATAATAAAAATAAATGACCGCGGTAACCTACTGAATACCTTACAAGAGGTGGTTAATGCCGAAGTGGTAAACGCAATATATTGCTCTCTGCCAATCCTCGTATTTATTCAACACAAACTCGTGAAGCTATTCCCGAACACTACGTTCAGACATTCAAAAAGCTTTGTACAGGACATAACGGACGGAACCGAACAGAAAGAGATCATGGTAACCGAACACAATAGAGCGCTTCGAGCAGCCCTGGAAAATGTGAAACAAGTCCTAAGGGACTATTTTTTTCCAAAAATGTTCCGACTAGCAACAGATGTGGCATCAAACTGCAAAATCTGTTCCATTGCAAAGAAACGCCTGGGGAATAAGCTTACGTCACTGTGCTCGGAAGAGGTTATTGATGCAGACCTGGGACCACGGTCCTTATTAAAGGGAGGGTGGTCCACAAGGACAATCTACGTTAATCATCCTCACAAGATTTTGACCTACCCCTTTGTTCCTTTCTTTATTCTTTCTAAGTTACAGAAATATTTTTTAATTTTCATACTAACGGCTGTTAGGAGGGACGCGACATTAAGACTTAACGATTACTCGAACGCAGACCAGACAGAGGCAATGACGAAGACATTAACAGATGACCACAGAACACCAGTTATAGCAACGGACCTTAGACATATTCGTAAGTTGGTGACCACCCTTAGGTTCCACCACAGGGCCACTAGAAGTATTAATTTAATTGGTACGGCTCTCAAGGTTATTGCAGGTACGCCTGACTTTAGTGATTGGGAGCAGGTAAGATTTAATCAGAACCGGTTAACGAGGGCAAATGAAGGTCAGACAGAATTATATATAAAATTTCAAGAACGTCGCTAATGCAATAAATCAGATTCAGAAATACGAAACAAATAAAGAAACACACTTGTTGGAAATCATTTTACAGACTAGGCTAGTCATTTTTTTTGCTAGGCTTAAACTTGCAAAATTAAATATTGTAAGCCCAGCTATTCTAGATGGTGCCGACGTAAGCGAATTCAGAGACAAATAACCTTTTAATATTAATATTAGTTTGGTAGAAATATTAGAAGTATCTAGCATAAGCGTTTTTCAAAATTCTGACATTCTGCACTTTCACATTAAATTTCCTAATCCTAAGCTCGTATGTAAGAGAATAACAGTCTACCTGGTTCAACGCCATAATAGAATCCTGCGCATTGGCAAATATCACCTAAAGGCAAATCGCCGCAAGAAATCGAAAACGAGTGGGTCGCCGGGACGACGACCATTTAAAGGAGGGAGAAGTTAACACCCGGCAGAATTTAGGAAAAGTGTCAAATTGCACACCGGATCCGGTGGCCCGCACGCGTAACGGAAGAGGTGCTGACTAGGCATTCCAAGGGCAACTGTCCGCGGACCGGCTCGGGCACTTGCGCAACAAGTGATCGTTGCTGGCCGGATACGGAATGCTGACACTGCAACTGGGCAACTGCGCCGCAGCCCAACGAAGGCTTCGAAGTACAGCCCGGGTAGTATTTTAATTTAGTCTTAAGTAGAACTCCGCAGCTTTTGCTCGCGTTATATTTATTCTATCTTTGCCAGTAACACTAACCATAACGGGTTTGTGCGAAACAAATGATTAATAAATAATATTCGAAAAACTCACACACAAATAACTTATTATTAACTAACTCCGAAGCCTTAGCTCGCGTTATATTTTATTTTATCTTTGTCAGTAACAATAACTGGGCATCCCTAGTCAGCGCTGAAGTTAGAAGATTAACTACTAACAAGACTAGCACGACATCCCAACACATTTTCAACAGTCGCTAACGAGAGATGTTAACAATGATAAAAACATTGAGCAGGACAGGTCCAGACGTCCCATAAAATGAAAGAGAGACAAGGCAAAAAAGAATGGTGTGTTATGAAGACACGCGATGGAAGTGAAACTGAATGATTGGATCGGCAACGATTATTTAATTTTCCATGTTTAGAGGGAGAGGAATCATTTTAATTACGTGTCAAACACTTCTTGATAGTAAGTATTAATTTATTCATCATAATAATTATACTTTTTCAAGATACAATAATATTAGTATGAATATGATGAATTTAATCTCAATCAGCGTCACCTTCATTCTCTGGTAGACTCTTCATGAACGAAGTGATAGGTTTGTGGTAACTAAAATAGGTAATGAAGACTCTTGACTCCAAATTTTCGACGTAACGTGAGAAAACTGCCTCGATGGTAGCATGGTGAATTTTTTCATTTCCAATGACCATTTCTGTTGCAAGAACTGAATTAATGGCTTGGAATCTTCTTTTTCATTTTTTATGAAAAATCCTTATGTCATTTTTATACCCTTGCCATTAATTCAGTATTCCAAAAGTCCAAAAGTGTGCAACGCAGTGAAGGAGACATCTCCGACCCTATAAAGTATATATATTCTTGATCAGGATCACCTCCTGAGTTGATATGAGCACGTCCGTCTGTCCGTCTGTCTGTCTGTTTCTACGCGAACTAGTCTCTCAGTTTTAAAGCTATCAACTTGAAACTTTGCACACACCCTTCTTTCTTTTGCAGTATATAAGTCGGAACGGCCGGGATCGGCCGACTATATCCTATAGATGCCATATAACTGATTGATCGGAAATGGTATAACTTTGGTGTTTTTAGAGTTAGAGAGTTCAAATTTGACACAAAAGCTACACAAAAAACATTACGACATGCCAAATTTCATAAGGATCGGCCGACTATATCTTATAGCTGCCATATAACTGAATGATCGGAAATGACCCAACTTTCGTGTTTTTGAAGATAGAAAGCTGGAACTTGGTACAGATTATATTTTTGGTCAGTTAATCCGATCTACCAAATTTCATAACGATCGGTTGACTATATCTTATAGCTGCCATATATCTGAACGATCGGAAATGGTATTTGGTAGAAATATCAACTTTCGTATTTTTTAAGATAGAAGCTTGGGACTTTTTTTAGATTTTTTATTGTAATTAATTGGTTTTATTATGATGTAATCATAAGGATCGGCCAACTATATCCGATGTTTGCGATATATATCCGGTTTTAGCTGCAAGGGTATATCAACTTCGGCTCCGCCCGAAGTTAGCTTTGCTTTCTTGTTAAACCATGATCTATCACATACACAACACGTAAAACCGAATGGATTTTTTATAAAATCACGGTGAATGTTCTTATTTGAAGTTTTAAACTTATTAAAGTCTGAATATTGTATTCGATCACCACTATGTACATCACAATCAGGAGAAGGATGAGTCGAAGTCGTTGATAATAGTTCATTCTCTGAATTATTTACACTATCGTTCACACTGTCAGGTAAGAGGTTAGCACGTGTTTGCCTTCGTTCCCTGCTATCTCGTTTAATTTCAGTTCTATTTTTTTTCCCCGTTTTCTATTCTGATCCATTCCTTCTCTCCCCCTTTTTTTCTCCGGCCACGTTTTTGTATTTTCTGAACCCGACTTCGGCATATTTGCACAAAACTTTCGATTTAAGTAATAAAGACACGGGATCGCGACGCCGCCTGAACGCAGAGAATGACATGAAAGACAGAAAGTCTTCCTTTTCACTCTCGCACGATATGCGAAGGGCTCTCACTCTCGCCCGACAGACGAGACGTATGGTAATCCGTCTCACTCTCGCTCGATTCCCGGAGGCCTCTCACTCTTACTTACTACGTTAGAGCAAGCGTCACCAAAAAGGTTGCCGATCAAGATTTCAAAACCCTCCCATAAGAAGTTTCACTTGCATTGTGATGTGATGATACTGGTGTTAGATTAACCAAGCTTGTTTTGAGCTTGTTTTTGTGAGCATTGCCGACGCGGTTTTCCCAACAAAAAACAGTAATGGCTTACAGCAATCATTTCGCAACGGAAAGAAAACACCGTAAAATTCTAGTAAAATCGAGTTTTTCCGGATCTGGGTAAACCTAATCTATTATTTATATCTACAGCTTTCTACTTACCTTGATAACTTAAAATAAATCCCTGCGCCCTAAGATTGTCTTCTTCTATTCGTACGAAATACATTAATAAGTACCCAACGGCTAACATTAATGCAATAGTTCCCAACAGGGATAAAGCAGCAAGTAAATGTTCGTTTTCCACCTGATCTGATATTGAATCGATTAAATATATTATTCGAGATAGCCACATAGATAATTTTCCTTCACTATGCTCGTTGAACAGCTTCTAAAAAGAAAACGGGGATATTAAAAAATTATTATTAATTAAGTACCTTACCTGTACAACTGCTTCATAATTAAAACTTTCTGATGATTTTAGCAACCTTCTTACTGTACGAGAAACTTCATGTTTTGTTGAATTTGCTAAAATTCCCGTAGCAGAGCTGTTGCCTTTGGCAACCCCAAAAATCCATTCGTATTTTAAGTGTTTATCGTCTCGCCGCCAAAGGACTACAATATGTGGAATATTTGATTCCTTAAATCCTTTTGAAATAGCTTTAATAAAATTTTTTTGTCTCTCCTAAAATAAATAAAATATGCATATAAGTTCATAAAAAAGTTAAATTAAAAAAAAAATTTAAAAGCATTGACAACGCAGAGCTGCTTAAGGCACAGCTGGCTTAAGACATATACTACTTGACATATATATTTTGACATGGCGATGCTTGACATGGCAGAGTGTATTATAATTTTGGTCAAAAATTTGCAGCGCAGTGAAGGAGACATCTCCGACCTTATAAAGAATATAAGTTAACTGAAGTTAACCAAGCAGCGGCAATGTCCGATTATTTAAGAGCTCGCTCTGGCCAAACTGCTGACATAGCGTCTGGCCGGAAGCCCATGCATAGCGGCAAGCACTGCACATTTGCGTGGCCGCTATGAAATACTTTTTGTTAGCTTTAAGTTTCAGTTTGTGTCAGAGTCTCATACAATAAAGAGCACCATAAAACCAATCTCCGGCACTGCCGTTAATTTGTAAATTCATTTGTTGAATTGGTCACCGCGGCTCAAGGGCCGTGGCAACGGAGCAAGTGCTCCCATCATAACTCCCGTCACAGAGCGGATCTTCCCTCGGCAACCGCCAGGGATCTCAACCACTACCTACAAGGAGTAGCAACCTCCCCCGGCAACCGCCAGGGGTAATTATCTTACAAATATCTCCGGCGTCTGCAGCATCACCGACTGCAGCGAGGGATAACCAACAACATCATATATCAAACATTATTACACAAACCAATTTATATTATCTGGCGCCCATCGTAAAAGAACCATGTAAGTGAGCACTTTTATTTACACAGTTTTTCTAAGTCTGCATGAATTTTTCTTTGTGTATTAAAAATAAAAAAAAAAAAAAGAAAGAAAGAAAGACAAGAATAGTAAAATATTGTGCCTTACGCTAATAAAAAACTGCAGCCCCATAAAATTAAAAAAAAAAATTTTTAAATAATCTTTATTAGTTGGCTGACGGTTTAGCATTAACATTTTTATACCCTTGCAGAGGGTATTATAATTTTGGTCAAAAGTGTGCAACGCAGTGAAGGAGACATCTCCGACCCTATAAAGTATATATATTCTTGATCAGGATCACCTCCTGAGTTGATATGAGCATGTCCGTCTGTCCGTCTGTCCGTCTGTCTGTTTCTACGCGAACTAGTCTCTCAGTTTTAAAGCTATCGTCTTGAAACTTTGCACACACCCTTCTTTCCTTTGCACGCAGTATATAAGTCGGAACGGCCCGGATCGGCCGACTATATCCTATAGCTGCCATATAACTGATTGATCGGAAATGGTATAACTTTGGTGTTTTTAGAGTTAGAGAGTTCAAATTTGACATGAGAGCTATTTTTGGCAAAACATTACGTCATATAACTGAACGATCGGAAATGTTTTTTGGTAGAAATACCAACTTTGGTATGTTTGAAGATAGAAGTTTGGGACTTTTTTTAGATTTTGTATTGTAATAAATTGGATTATATATTCATGTTCCCATAAGGAGCGGCCAACTATATCCGATGTTTGCGATATATATCCGGTTTTAACTGCAAGGGTATATACACTTCGGCTCCGCCCGAAGTTAGCTTTCCTTTCTTGTTTTACTTATTATAAAATATTTAAACCATTTCATTTTGTGAACCAATTATTGTCCCAATATTGTTTGCATTTCTGTTTTTGTGAATAAATAAATGAATATTCTATATAACACAAAAAGTGCGGAACAAAAATTCCTAACCAAACCCAAAAAATCGCTGGCAGAAAATTTTAAATTTCAATCGGAAATCATCTATATAATTGCGTGTATTTAATTCAGCTTTTATATGTCTTTTTTGATACACAAGAATTCTTGGTATTAGCCGCGCAGTTTTGGTTATTTATTTTTCTTTTCCGTTTTGTTTCCCCACTCCATTTTCGAGAACACGATACGGCCGCGCATGCAGTGTGGCACTTTGTTGTTTTTATTGGTTTTTTTCTCTGTTTGCATAAGCGGCGGCTCAGTCCCCGCGCACCCCTCACCTTACCGCTACTTGACACAGCAGTAGCGCAACTTGACGAGCCCGCACACATAACTAAAGCGGCAGCTCAGCCCCCGCGGCCCCTTCACCAGTCCAATCGCCTCCATCGGCACATAATTCATACATAAATATTTTTTCTTTCGGGCGACTTTATGTGGAGCCGCAGCTCCACATGAGCAATCCGTTTCAACAATATAGAAACATAAGACAACTCTCTAGCGATTCTGAGTCGGAGACCGAAGGGCCGGCCAGATCTTCCACCCCTAAAAGCGTTAACGCTAGCGCTCCCATACTCGCGAACATGGCTTTCAGCATGGAACAGATGACAGCCACCATACAGGCGGCCGTTCAACATGCTGTTCAAGAAGCCAATATCGAACACCAGCGTAGAGAAAACGAAATGCGCCTGGCTACACACCGTCTGACCGAACTGGTCAACGAAAGACAAATCGCTCCCGCCCAAGCGGAGGCTCCCCAAATAAAAAAATATGAGCCTATAGAAATTAGGAACGACATTAAGTGTGACGAGCCCCTAGACGCCGTCAAGTCCCTCCCCGAATTTTCGGGAGCACAGGAAGCATACGTCTCCTGGAGACAAGCGGCAGTAGCCGCATATTACATTTTCAGAAATTACGAACATAGCTCGCGCCATTATCAGGCGGTTATTATTATTAGGAATAAAATAAGGGGCCCTGCCGATGCCGTACTGTCTTTGTTTGGCACTGTACTAAATTTCGACGCGATTATAAATCGACTAGATTTTACGTACAATGATAAGCGGCAGATGCACGTTATCGAGCAGGAAATGGGTACTCTCAGGCAGGGAAATATGACCCTTCTCCAATACTATGACGAGGTCGAGAAAAAGCTCACCTTGCTCACCAACAAAGCTACCATGTCGTACGAAGCCTCGGCGGCAAAAGTTTTGTGTGACAAATTCCGGGATGACGCACTCCGAGTATTTATCTCGGGGCTTAAGCGCAGCCTCACGGATGTCCTTTTCTCGGCGAAACCGAAAGATATGCCTTCAGCTCTCGCTTTGGCACAAGAAGTGGAATCCAACCACGAAAGATACTTCTTCGCGGCTTCTTTTGCCAAAAGCCAAGAGGATAAAGATAGGAAACAGCACCCAAAAGCGCAAGAGTACCGACAGGCCTCTGCGCAGACAAACGCACAAACAAATGCTGGAAAAATCCTACATCAAACAACACAAGGCGCAAGTACACTCCGCCCCACACAGTGGAGGCGCTCCTGAACCCATGGACATCGACCCATCGCTGTCCAAAATGCTTAGGCCATCCCAGGCCCCGGCGTACCAAAACAGGAAGCTGGCTGAGTCCGATCGATCTGCCCCACACAAAAGGCAGAGGGTTAATCACGTCGCGCAGGGCGCGAGCGAAACCGGGAACAAATATACCGCCGCAGCTTCAAGCGCGGCCCAGGAAATTGACGACGACGCTATTAATGAGTACGATTCGGACGTCATAAATTTTTTAGGGGAAAGTCCCTGCTACCCGTCATCAGACGAAGAGTAGCAGGTGTAGAAATAAAGCTTTTAACAGACACGGGCGCGTCAAAAAATTTCATCCGTCCATACGAAGGATTGAAAGGCGTCCGCCCAGTAGATTCGCCATTCTCGGTACATTCCATCCATGGCGTCACCACAATAACAAAAAAATGCTTTGTTTCCATGTTTAATTTGAAGGCTACGTTCTTCATCCTACCATATTTGTCCTCCTTTGATGCCATCATCGGACTTGACCTGCTAAAACAAGCAGGGGCATCACTTAACCTAGCTTCCGGGCACCTCAGATGGGGCACCGAGACGGTAAAGCTAGAGTTCCAATCATGTCCCAATGTAAATTTCACTGAAGTGGACTGCTCTAGCGCACCACCTTTGGTCAGAAGAGCATTTTCAAAAATGCTAAGCGACAGGAAAAACGCCTTCGCAAGCCCAAATGAGGCTTTACCTTACAACACGTCTGTGGAAGCCACCATCAGGACAGTTGATGAGGAACCCATTTATGCCAGACCCTATCCGTATCCGATGGGAGCGGCAGATTTCGTCAATGACGAAATCCAAGACCTTCTAAAAAACGGCATAATCCAGAAGTCGAGATCCCCCTACAATAACCCAATATGGGTAGTAGACAAAAAGGGCACCGACGAAGCTGGAAACCGTAAAATGCGGCTAGTATTAGACTTTCGAAAATTGAACGAGAGGACAATACCGGATCGCTACCCTATGCCAATTATCCCTATGATACTAGGGAATTTAGGCAAAGCCAAATACTTTACAACGCTTGATTTAAAGTCCGGCTACCACCAAATTATTCTGGCAGAACGTGATCGTGAGAAAACTTCCTTTTCCGTAAACGGGGGAAAATACGAATTCCGTCGACCGCCATTCGGGTTAAGAAATGCTGCCAGCATCTTCCAAAGAACCATCGACGACGTACTGCGAGAACAGATTGGCAAATTTTGCTACGTCTATGTCGATGATGTTATCGTCTTCTCAGAGGACGAAAACGCCCACATACGACACGTGGACTGGGTTCTAAAGAGCCTACACGACGCTAAAATGAGAGTGTCAGCGCAGAAATCGGTCTTCTTCAAAAAAAGCGTAAAATTTTTGGGGTTTGTAGTCACCAACGAGGGGACCACGACAGACAGCTTACCCACACAATCCAATCCACGGACAAGCCCCTCAATTGCTTTCAAAACCAGATAATTCTGGAGGAAGCACGCTCTCCGTCAAAGCGGAACTTCGTTCTCTTTGGAAACAAGAGACGGCATATTATTGACTTCACTCACGAGGAGTCATTGCTAGAGGAGCTCGCAACCATAATAGTTCCTAAAGGCGTAAACGCCATTCATTGCGATCTGCACACGCTCGCAGTAATACAGGACAAACTAATCCGACAATTCCCTGCCACCAGATTCTGGCACTGCAAAAACCGAGTAACGGACATTTTTGCAGTTGATGAAAGGCGGGAAATTCTTACTGTCG